AAACCTTCGTCATTGTCACAAGTCAAGGTGCTTGAGGGGCCAAAGTTCCAAATTAGTCTTTTATCATGCAAGCATTTGCATAAAAACGGGGGTTCCTGCCGTTCTTATCACTTTAGTGCTTTGACATTCATAAAAAAAGGTTCACAACGTTTTGAATAGTGATGGAGTCAGAAAAGGAATCTGGCTTTAAAAATAAGCAATTTAAGCAACCTCAACAGTGATGAGATCTTGATGCAGTCTATAGTGCAGATGATTGTATTGTTCATCAGCATATTAAACCGTCCAATATGTCGAGGCAGGTAGATTCAGGTTTTTAGATGTAAATGTTTGCATCAGCCTGTAAAAGTAAAAATTTTAGAATTGAACTTTTGTGGACCAAAAATCGCTTGTAACAGCTGGTTTTTATACATGAACTAAAAGCAAACGTGGTTTGTAGCATTCTAAAGATCACTCAGCAATCAAATAAAATATTTTATTGTTTTCCTGAAACTGTCGAAAATTTGTTGCCTGCGCATCCTTTAAAGTCCCGAGAACTGTAAGAGAGCGCATCTCAATTCGTTCTAATTCCAAAGCGCAAAAAAAGACAAAGAAGCTGATCGGAGCTTGCACTAATTTGTGCGTTTTCTCAGCAAGAAATACCAAAAAGACCAAAGCGAAGTTCATTTGCTCTTTGGTAGTTTTCAGTGTGATTGATTTGAGCTGTACTTAATGCAATTTGTTCATATATCTTGACGGGGTTTCTATATTCGAGGTAGGCTGCATAAATATTTTTGGAGAAAATTGTGAATAAAAGTACGGTTTCACTCAAATTTATCTCGTAGCGCCTTCATAAAGTTGGCTGCTCACTTTTTTCGTGATTTTGTTGCATTGGGCGTCGATGAAACAAACCCTACAATGACAATTTCCATGGGATATGCATGTTCGCGATTTTGGATGTATAGAAACAGTTTTAAGCAAAGAGGATTCAGCAACTCCCTGATATGATATTACAAGTGTTCCCTGACATGTTATTGAGTGCTATCTCATCAGCGTTTATTTACAGTCGCAGCTTGAATTGCTCAGGGACTTACTTTTTATCTCTCGTTCGTAGGCATTAGAACTTGTAATCATCAAAATTATAGTAATTACTGTTTTATACCTACGAATTAGAGGCGCGCGCCAAGCAGTTGGCAAGTCTAGTTTATTCGCTTTGTAGCATTCGCAGTATGCGGCCTAAGATTCGCCTTATTACTTGTACTAGTTGCGGTTTACAGGTTCGTTTTTAGGGTTATTAGAGGGTTTATTGATCGACTAGGTCATCTAAAGTGGGATAAGTTTGATTATAGGAATAAGATTACCTCGAAATGGTAACCACTCCACATATTAAAATCTTTAAAGTCAAAATGTTTCGTATATCTGAATGTTGTCTTCTAGGAAAGAAAATTTTTCCTAGAATATCATCATTTTGACTGCTATCTCCTTATGTAAATAGTTAGTAGTCCCAAATCATCTCTTTAGTCTGCAATACGTTGATGTACCGATGGAATTTCTCAGTAGAGATAATAGTCTGATTCAAGGGGATGATCTTTTATTCGCGGTTTATAATCCTTTGAACCCTAAGGCATGCTGATTTCCATTTTTGCACCATTTGTTTCAGAAACTCTCAATATCTTCACTTTTTATGAAATCAAATTATATCAGCATCTTTATACTGTTTTCTTCTTTCTGCCTTGTGTAGAGACACGCTAAGGATACGAGAGCCTTTTGTTTTTCGTAAGTTATCTCTAGTGGATCATTCAGGTTGATTTTAATAGAGTAGAACTACTACATACAAATATATATTTGCCGGCCCACATAGAAATTTCTGAAATTGTTTCTTTCAGCACTATTCCCTTGGAGCTACCAACGTTACCTATCAACAGCACAAAACCGGACGTGAAGAACGTGCCTCAGTTCTAGGGAAATATGAAGGATTTCGTGGCTGTACCATTTGGT